CGTCACAAACGTTAAACGTTCAAAAGATTTGTAATTTGAATTGCTGGAACATATAATAATAGGAAATGAGGAATACATAAGTTGGTAGGATCGCTAATAAAAGTTGAAAAGCCCTACTTTTCGGAATTCAAGATTCATGACAAATAAAAACGACCATAGGTGCATGTTAAGCCTGTCATGTTCCCATGGCATGAAATTAGTTTTTTACGGAACTTTTCGTATTTAAGGGAGGGCTCGATGAGAGCGAAAACATGTGTTTTCAAAAATTTTGCTTCCCATTCTGAAATCCAAATCAAAATCTCTTATTTTCACGTCTTACAGCTTTTAATGATTTTAAGGTCGCTTTTGCTGCAGTGGATCTATCCGCTAAGAGGGACCATCAACTTCAACAAAAATGCAGGTAAGACGTAAGGACAAACACGCACCAGTACTCCATAAGCAACACGGGAAGGAAAATCCCTTTTTTTTGAAGTCATTTCGTCAAAGAAAACCGTCAGTTTTGAGTATGTGTGAGTGTGAAGGCTGCTCTTGGTAGCCTCTTAACCAATGGAATTGTGGCCAGAGCAACAAATTCATTTCTCATAAAATTGTAGGCTCTCTAAGCGAAGGCTCTCGTTTCGTAATTTGATGCGCTCGCAGTTTATGTTCAAAGGCACAGATCCCGATATAAATGGTTTCTGAGATTTCCCTATACATGGTATGAATTCGACACTTCCCCTTATACCATACTTGTCGTTATAAAGCTGAAAAACATCATGGATAGGGCACAATAAGGGGCCAGAGATTGTATCCTGTGAATGCACACCCCTCGTGGACGAGTTCCAACGGCTTTCTAGAGGCTGCACTACCTCAAGAGACTCCCATGTATGAAGTTCAAAAAAGTTGTCGTAGCCCATGGCAACAGTGGCAATTTTTGACAATTTCTGCTTGATGTAGTTATCCTTTTGAGCAATGGGAGCGAGCTAAATCTCGTACAAACACCCCTTACATGCCATTACCGGTGATCTCGTACAACCTCTATTAGCCTTCAAGTAGGTAGGAAGTGGGATCTTCTCGCTTTTTTCACCACCGATGTACTACGCTACATCAACACTTCTACTTTTCTACCTGAAAAGTATACCTCAAAATTATCGAACTGTGCCTTTAACCGTGAGTTTTGCACTAATTTCGAAGAATTAGTGAATAAATTTCCGCTATAGCCCACACGACTAGATCTGCACATTCATCACTCCTTCTGAAAGCTAACCTCTTAACTGCAACAGCGTGATAGGAGTCTTTCTCCGTCGTAATCATAAAGCCGGCATGCAGATGTATCGAGCCATGTTGAATCCAAAACAGCACATTCGCTTAGCGAAACAAGTTCTCATTACGCGTAGTCTGTGGCTATTATTATCATTATTTATTTTGCACACAAGGTGCGCCATTAGGAGACATAATAGGGAACAATACAGAGCTCTACAACACAGATAACTCAGAAAATTCCATCATCATATGTAACTACAACCCTACAAATTAAGTGGAACCCATGGGACAAAGGGGCTTCCCATTACACATACTAGATGTCATATTCGCATATAATAATATTGAATTGGTGGCTCCAACATCATAAGGTTCTGATCTTGAAGTTTGAAAGTTGAACAGCGGGAGATAGATCGATCGTAGCAAACCATGGCTGCTTACTGTTCACGCTGTGCTTGTTTAGGTCCTTTTGTTGATGGCCTGCTTCAGTGCCCTACTCTGCACATATGCGCATGCGTTCTTTACCGTTCAAGGTAAGGAATTTCGAACGCTGCGCGATGAAATCTAAAAATAACTTCTTCAGAATGTGCCAGCTATCCAGCATTGGTTACTGATGCCGATTATGTGAGGTTTGCCGAAGGTTGTGCTGGAAAAGAAGTCCTCGGATTCAAGGTTCAACAAGAATTCCACGCAATCAGGCTCACTGAACCTCTGTTCAATGGACTCTTCGCAAATGCTCGCAGAATCAACTTCCACATTTATGTCCAGAACACAGAGTTTAGGCATATAGAACTACCCAGCGTGGAATATATTCCAGGTGGGCTGGCACAACTATCTCATCCAAAACTTTCCTACGACTAAATATTATGACAAGAGGGCGTCAGTCATCGAATCATTGGAGCGTCATACCATCAGTTAATCTCTGGGAAACTGGGTAGTAGTGAAGGTCTTCTACGCAAGGAGTACACAAAGCAGAACATTAGTCGTACCTATGCCTTGAGGTATCGCTTAAAATTCAGAAAATGAGATCATCAAAAGAACAATCTACTGGCTGCTTTCATAGTCCACCAGCGAGCGCGCGAGCCGGTTTCGCGGACTATGAAAGCAGCCACTGTGGACCGTAGCGAGAAAATATGAGGTGAGGAAAGGCGGTGACTACAAATTACAGTAGGAACTAATTTTTCATGGAGAGAAATGAATTGCCGATGCCAATGAGAGAAAGTCACAAGGAAAAGTCGATAGGCAGTTGAACAGAAGCCAATTAAGCTATGTTGATAGGAACAGCTTTTCCAAGCTCACTATAAGGATTTGATTGGCACCGTTTCTATCGCAAAAGACCGATTTCAGGACTCACAATCAGGAATAATGCACTATTGGAACAGTTCCGCATTTTGAAACGCTATCAGTTCGACAGGACTGTTTTCGGGCCAACAGTTGTTACAGTGGATGGCAATAAGATGTTGGACGACGAGAGCATGGGCTGTCTGCGGTATCTCTGCTCATACTGTGATATCTTTAAGTGGTCAAGTGAGTCCTCTTGAATTCATACAGGATTTCTGAAGAGAAAAGTGGTAGATACTAAAGCGTGGAAATATGATCTGAATGTTAAGCAACAAAATTGCTCCGATGGAAGCCTTGTTGTTACAGCCTCGAGAGCACTTCTGTGGACCCACCAAACTAATAAGTCACACTGAAAAGTCTATGACGTTAAGCGAAGACAGATGATTCAGGTTTCTACCATAACATTGGTGTATGTCACCTTCAGGGTAGGGTGCAGCTTGTCTTGATAATGTGGTATTCAAACTGATGGCAGCCATCACTGTCCACCTTTTATTCATGTTGTATTTGAGTGCTTTGATTCGTGGCCTTCGTCAGCACTCCACATACCTGCATACGTTGTTCTCGAATCAAAATACAGAAATCCCGGTGTCTGGAATGACTCCCGTGTCAATGAATATGACCTTCTGAGCAGAACTGAAGGTCTGCCTCCAATCTGAGAGTTTTTAGGGGTCTCGTTCGATATTTTAGTTGCACCACTATTGTGTTGAACCTGCTCTTTCCTCCTATGATTAGTAGGTACTTAGATGAGGTGCACAGTGCCGTAAGCCTGCACTTCGCGATCGCATTTGAATTCCGTGCTAGTAGCATATGCAAGAGACTAGTCCATTATCCGTTACGACGTCTTCAACCATCCGTAACAGACACAACACATCGAAAGAGGTATTGGGCAAGGAGGCGAGGGGGACGGATCATTCGCCCAATTCTGGATGGACGCAACAAAATGTACGGTAAAATTCGTGGTGATTCAAACGATTCCGGCTACAGCTTCATTAGGGCACAGGTTTTAAGAAAGGTCGATTAGTAGAATAGCTGACCCTACTAAACTACTTTACTTCGAATTTGTGCTCCAATGATAGGAGAGCCGTTCAAATCGTCAGGAATCTTGCCGCGCTTTGCCTCGTACACCTACAAATGGGCGGATGGTCTGTCCCCGAGCAGATGTAAGAAACACCACGTTTCTCAAATTTTTCCCTTCTGACGAAAATATTACCCTTATTATTCCGATGCACATTATTTTTCCTGTTCATTACATTCATTGCTTTCCAGAATGCAGTGCGCTCGAGCCGGTCTCACCTTTCAACTATGGTCGACTTGTTGAACAATGTCGAGGAGAAAGGCTCATCAAAGCACGACCCTACAGTCACTTCATATTGCACCTACGTTATATGACTTATGAGCAGTTCAGAGAACTTTTTTCGGAGGCCACCCACATTCAGTTGGGCTTCAGAATGATTCGTGTGCCTTGGACTAGGATAGAATTTCCGAAACTCGTCCGATTAATCCCAATATTCTCAGGTATCAATTTTCATTACTAAGATACACTGATAATACTATAGCTGGAAGTATGCTAGGGTTCTATGGCGATGAAACGCCAAAGCATAGTTCACTTCAACATTACATTTATTTATTTCCGATTAATCCCAGTTTTTCCAGGTATCAATTTTAATCACTAAGATACAGTGATAGTACTATAGCTGAAGTATTGCTAAAGTTCTATGGCGATGAAACGCCAAAGCATGACTGCTTCTTATGAAAAAGAGAAAAACAAAATGTGATAATTGTAATTTCAGGGGTACGTACTATCGTCGCCAGAAATAATCCGTATTTGAAGATAATATCATTCCCTCTCTACCATTCTGAAGGTTTTGGAGCACTCAACTATATGGAATATGTTGAAATTGTAAGGAATCGAAGGCTCAAATATGAAGTCATCTCTTCGTTGGAGCCACGCTGTAGATTCTGCTATCTTCAACCGTATGACGGTGAATTTTCACCTTTTTTATTTCTTATTCCTGTCATCTACTGCTTAATATAGAAAACAGGCTGATTCCAGCCCATTACAGGGAAAAATTGGGATTATTCATACTCAGTCCATACGATTTAAATAGTCTAGAAAAAGGGGCGGTGTTAAGTTCTAATTGGAAGTGTACGATGTTCAGCGACGTCTCTATAGGGGGTGTGGTGCAGCAGGAACGAATTTGTCGCGTCGCGGCGAGAGGGACGTCGCGCGGAAGGGATGTAGCAAAATGCAGCGGCAAGTAAGAAGTACACGAACAAAAGAATTAACAGTAAGATCATGCCAAAAGTAATAATCGCATGGCGATTGAGCTGTATGAAGAAAGCTAGAACTGTTATAACGGGGCGAATGGTCCGCGACAGCCGCGTTGCGGCGGATCGATTATTGAAAGCCTTTTCAGTATCAACGTACCATTTGGTGTATTCACTTTTCCAACCTTTTCCAATCTAAGCTTCTAAGCCGCTATGGTATAAATCATTTTAGAGTCGTCACAGTTATTGATAACCAAGGTGGTATTCCATTTGTCGATGCTGCTATGCTATATCAGGCACTGGGGGGTGGTGGTGTAGTGGTAACTGGCGTACTTCACCACGCATCTTCGCGGTCTCGAGTCGCGGATCGATAACCGTCTAGGCCAGCCGAGCCCTCCATCCCTCCGGGGTCATTTAAATGGTACCGGACGGTCTAGCCTCTACAAGTCATTGTATAGGCCCCATACGCACTCAATACGCCACTGCGATTCTGAATGGAAGTCGAATGCGTGGGTCGAATTGGCTAACGCTCCAAAACTTTATCTTTCTTTATATCAGGCACTGTGGCCTACCTAAATTCCCTATTTGTCAAACTTCTCCCTCCCTTTCCAATAATTTCAATTCAGTCATTAGTGATCACCAGTATAAACAAAAGGAATAC